AAGTTATGGTTTGAGGACGACGGTCCACTGTTAACCTGTAGCTGCCTGCAGATCTAAGATTCTGTGTGCATCAGGCAGAACGTTGCACGCGTGAGTGGTGATATAGTCACCACCTTATGCACAACCTCCTTTAGGTCTAAACTAGAAAACTGCACACCAGCGGCAAATCCTTGTCTGAGCGGTGACCCGGACCTTCCGGAAAGATTTCACAAGTTAGCTACTCGCATGGTCCCTAAAACGACTGGCCTGAACTTTTAAGACTGACCTTATCTTCACTTTATCCCATCACAGACAGGGGTATGCAACTAAGAAATGACTTCGGACTTCATCAATCCTCCGGTCCCCTTCCTACTAGGTTGGGGTAACTCACGGAACACAGTAGAAGAATGCGAAAACATAGGACAGACGTGTTCTTCGTAGAGTGATGGTTCTGGGGCCGAATAATCAACTCCTGGAACCGACTCTGCGAAAAGGTCGTGTCTGCATCGTTCACTGACTCTTTCAAAAGATGAACGAGAAGGAACTGCTGTTTACCGGGAAAGGATTGATACAAGCTGACAGCCTTCTTCTATCTAACGGCAAATATGAATTTGAGCAAGTTTGAAAATCTGAAATCTGTTTATTGAATCAACATCAGATACATGCAGTAGGAATTATCCCCTACTCATCCCGGATATTTGAAAACTAAACTGCTCATGCTTGGGGTGAGAAGAGGTGGGGCTAGACAAATGGAATGTGAAAGTTATGGGGTCAAATTTGGCACAAATGTGAACAATGAACTCTGTTGCAATTACTACCCTGTTAATAAAACTTTTTCGTTGTTGGAAGTACATACCAGGATACCTTTTCATTGAACTGTTGTGCAAAGAGTCGTCGATCGATTCGCACAAGTTTAGTTTTCATCGGGAATTTAAAAGCCCCAATAAGTAACGCTAACCTAACATGAGGTGTGCTCGTGGTCTCAAAGTAGTCTAGGAGACACCTAACTGGCGTTTAAAACTATGGTCTCAGTGGGAATATAATCAATAAAGCCAATGATCAACATCCAAAAATAATATGGAACAAGCATAAGTGACTTCACTGCTAAACTCCACCAAAAAATAACACCAACTTTAATCCAAGTGCAGTGTCATTCAGTGGGCCATTGTGGCAACAGATCTGACGAATTCACGTCATTAGAATCACCGAAAAATTATAGATATCAGTAAAAAGTAGTTAGTACCAGTTTCAAACCGATAGATCTCTCCTGTTAGTTGTTTTATGCACAGAAGCAGTGTGCGCTAGCCCCCAATACTATTTAAATGTCACATAATAAAACGGAAGCACATGAAGAGGACATTCGAATGCTAAACAGGGGCAAAACTGCATCCTGCATGGAACTACCAACCAAAACCAAGTAAATGATACTAAGAGGAAACTTTGGACAATTTAGAACCATCCGTTAGTGAAACCTATGTCCCAACAGAAGCACACAAATAATATACAGCACGGTTAACAACGGAGTATATGAGGGTCAAAAATGTAGATGAGAGTGGACAGAAGCCATAGGGCTCTCATGAAACACTGGTTTTGTGATCACAACGTTGTCGCTAAAGTGAAGCGTGCTGGTGTCAGATCCCATTATCCCTATCACTCAACTGGATATTGGTCAACTCATCTAATAAGTATCAAAATGAATAGGGTGCGTCTTTTCAGTTCTGCTGACGACCCTTCTAGAGCAGATGACGTCAAAATGAAAACAAATTGACCTTCACGTTACCGATCAATCAGACCACATGCAAACAGACACTCACCAGTTAGCCCCAGCTTGAAACCAGATGCATCAAAAAATAACAAGAGATGCCCATGGTGGTTCTCTGTAAGTAGTTGATTATTAGATAACGCCACAAACCAGAAGAGATTGGCATCCTGTGCCAGTCTGTGCTGGGGAAACTTCGCTCCCCGCTATGCATCTGCACCCGGACTACCAGCCCAGAAAATGACGAAAAGCAGATGTATATGGCCATGTTAAGAACATGGAACTGAAACGTGATGCGAAATCCAGACACCCATTTACCGAATCTCTATGTAGCCTGACGCCTGTTGATTCGTTGCAGTATGATAATCATTTGGAAGTACTGGTATCAACAAATGAATGATACCTGTAGCACAGGACTTGGCTGTGGTAACTCAGAAGCCTGGTGGATTGCTCTGTGTCATTGAAGCAACTGCTTCTGGGTTGTTGTTTAATTGGAGTTGCCGTTGCCCACCTGGATGCACTTACATTCAGCTGGTAAGGCCGAATAAGGGTGGCATGTGGATTTCTTTTCTGGCCGGCACTAATTTTATGACATCGAATCGAAACCTGAGGAGATCTGGTCGCTCCTATTTGACTACCCCGCATGAAACGCCCTGCATATCCCATTTAATATATCAATTCTGTTCTTTCCACCTAATTACTTCCCATTCATAAGGTATATCCAAATCCATACAGACTCAGATGGGTGTAGATACAGCGATTAAGGTCTTTCCAGAACCTTCTTTGCATATCAAATTGAGGAAGAGGAAATAAGAAGCCTGTGTTGAGAAATCAATCACATGAAAAATAGCTGACTGAGGGCTAATGTGCCATCGCTTAAAATCGATCTCAACCGGGTAGATTTATCAGCGTCTTATCTTCGGTTTAGGTGACACTAGATTTCATCGTCATTTCATTCTTCCATCCTCCCTTTCTCTACTTTCCGCTACTTTTACTGCCTTCTTCCTTACTTTTTTATCTTTCTTTTCAGTGCATTGTCACCAGGGTTGCTGCATTGAGATGTAATCGGATGTCATGTGCTAACACTGTTCCGTTGTCTGACGTGCTTTAGATGAATTATCGAGAAGACCATGGGCGATAAAAAGTAAATTCTATCGCGTTTAAAACGGCTATTCAAACATTATGCTCGCAAACGTATCCCAATGAAGTCCATTTACAGAAGAAGCAGGAGAATATATACGAGACGCCCCAAGCCGTACGTATATTGATACCAGCGCTATCGAATGTAAAGGATAGCCTGATAGATGACCATGCCACGGGGTACTTGGACAAAAATGGAGTACTAGGTGATGCTCAACATAGTTTCCGAGAAAGTAGGTCCTGCACCGGTAATGATCGGACGGCACGTCAGGACCTCTCTGTTCCTGTCCACATGGTTCCCCGGGATTTTACCAAGGCATTTGACGCAGTGTAACAGGCCACTGTCATATGCGGAATGTCAGGTTCGGGTACCAGCAGTCAGATCCTCTCCTGGATAGAGGGATGTTTACAGAGAATTCTGTACCGAAGTCAACAGGATTTGTTCAACTCGGTAGACATCATCATCTAGTGTATCACAAGGAACAATTCTGCATCCACCGTTACTCCTTCTTTACGCAAAAGATGTCGAACTACTGAGAGCTGTGTCGCATGAAACAGAATAGGGTGCACTGAAAAGCGACTTCAGATTTCCTTCAGAGTGCATGAAAAATAACGGATAAATTCCGAATCATGTCTGTCCATACTTTCAACTCTTTGAAAACATCCTACCATCTCTACGGTACGCGACTTACGCACGAGACCAAGGAGAGGGATCAAAGGCTGGAGACGAGGCCTAGTTATCCAAGAACTCCCCCAGAGAACGCAGATTATTGCCATTGATGCGCAAGCAGCTAGGTGCCTTCATTCCTAAACTGGGTATGTAGCCCTACCTGACATAAAGGTGACGCCACTTGGAGGTTCAATTCGCCGCTGGACTACCATACATGAAAAAAGGCAAGAACTTCCGGAAAGAGTCGAAAGGTAGGCCAAGAAGGGTGTTGTGGGATGCGGCAAAAACCATATGAAGATAACCTGAGGGATAGAGGCATTTACTGTCTTAGTTATGGGGAACTACCTAGTGACTTGATAACACCTTATTAAGTAAGCTGAGTCATTCGATCAGTGGAATTCCATCAAACGGTCACTGTGACAGTCCTCATTAAAACCCAAGAAAAACAGACCACAAAAGAGGGAAAAAGGTGTGTGCTCACTCTCTTTCGCCCGCGAGTCTGTGGACACTTGAATTAATTAACCATCAAGAGTGCTGCCAATCCATCTGTTGATATCTTCAGGAAGAAGTTGGGTAGCTTCCTCTCGACACACTGCTAGCGCCCATCTGGCTGAGACGCAGACCAGGTCAGTTCAACCAACTGGCTCTGCATGCGCCTAGTAAGTCAACTCCATGTCGATTCTTCTGAACTGTCACTGTTATCACAAACACGACTCAACTTTATCCTTCCTCCCAGCTACCGCCAACCTACCTAATAACATTATCATTTCTGTGTTATCCGTGCAGTAATCTCTCCTACTGACTCCTGTCTAGGTGACTAGACGACTTCACCCTGGTAAACAAAGTCCTGTCTATCACTGACCGATTTCTCCTCTCACCCGAATCTGCCTACTTTTTTCCTTTTCTTTCACTCTGATTCTTTCCAAATTGTTTCTCTTGACTGACCCTCTCTTGTTTTCGCTGGACATAATTCATTTTTCTTATCTTTTCAAAACCAGTCTGAGCACTTATCTGCTGGCAAAAAACCTGAGGAACCCATGGTTCTGGGAGAAATCATACAGCCCGAACGAAACTAATCAAAACAGTACTGCTCGTTGGGTATGGCAGAGCCATAGTAGGCAAGTGGGTATAGCTACTATATCAGAACCATCTAAGACCTTCAGTCATATCGAAAGACCTTAAAGCAAGCGTGAAGCAACAAGTTGGTTAATACTGTGATGGCCTCGTGCCTTTTAAGTCTATGTACATCTCATGTACTTGCTGAGTCGTCGGGATACATTTCTCTTTCCACTTTTCATTTCAAGATTCTCGCAACTAGACTCACACACCTCCCTCTGCAACAACGTACGACGTCTCCAAACTTCAGACGAAACCCCATCAAGAGTTTGTCGTAACAGATATTGGCCCGTAGAAAAATTGGATATTGGAGGATAAATTCAAACAATTTGCTCAGTTTTGAACTTCGCGTTACAGTCGATTAAGAAGCGGTAGACAGATTTGTCTTCTTGTTTCTTCTATGACAAATGTCTGTTGGTTCCGCTGTTAGATGTCAATGTCCCTTCTGTCTCCGCTGATTATTTGGCGGACTCTTTTATCGTCCTAATACGTCATATTTCCACTGTGTAACCGTCAAGACCGAAATCTTAAATCCCTTAATAAATAACCGTCACCTGCTATCTACACCAAGCCTGTTAGCCTTTGGTCATCTCCTCGATGTATTATTTTGTTGGCTGGCCTACTGTTTTAGGATCTTACTGTGCGACAGACGAGTTTATTTCCTTATGCTCAACTAAAAGTGGTGAATATTTCGTTGTTTGCACAGCGACAGATTTAGTTCTGTTTCATATTAAAGTGAGTTAATAGCTTTTCAGAAAAACAATGCGTCCAGTTTATTTGCGCCATTGCACATTTCACGCGTTCTCACAAATGCTTGTCAGAAAACGGACCTACCTCATCTGCAGTCTGGAAAGAGGATTCCTCAAAATTATTGCTGAGTGTTAGTTGTATTACTTGGCATTCATTTTTTAGACTAAAAATGGGGCTGTTCTCATTTATTCGATTGAAAATTTACAACATGTTTACGAAATGTTCTCAGAAAGGTATGTCCGTTCATCAAACACGAAGGCGCTAATTCTAACAGCATTGCTAACTCACCCAAAGAGGTATTCTCACTGGAATCTGTTGTGAAAGTTGCTGAGTGCATGTGCAAGTAAGGTGCAGTGACAAATTCCTAATTGTTCAGTGCATTCTTTTTAGGAGATATTGTTGTTATTTCATCAGAGAATGGTGATTTAATACGCATGAAATGGGATGGTTCATACTTTGGAAAGTCTCTCACTGTAAAGTCTATCAGTTTCATACCAGACATCAATTCTTTCGCTGGTGAGATTATTACCATTTCTATGCAGGTTACTAATATAACCTATGATTATATTTTAATCGATATGTCCATCTGGTTATTTATTTGAAACAAGGGTTCGGTATGTGGACGCTAAGATGTTCTGTACAAAGTACTGTAGAATTAAGAATTGAAGTGGCACGTGACGGACAAAGAAATAGGAGAGTAAACAATTATTTATTAGTAGGTATAGTAGGTCAGTCGTCCTGTGTTGATCCTTGCAGTAGGTGTCTCTGTGGAAATCGGTTTTTTTCTTGATTTCTTTCACCGAAGGATCTGCTACTACAAACACGCAAGGAGTTTTATTCGTTGACCGTCTGATGGGTGAAGCACGTTCATAGTTTTGGTCTGGTCAGGGTCCTTGGACTTTCTTGTGAACTTTTTTCTCTCGAAGATAATCAATCTTCTCAGGAGAGATATAATATGCCAGTGCCCTATTTATTATTATTATTAATCCTTTGGGTTTCTAATGGAACATAGGGCTTCAGTAGCACGTCTCCAGTGAACTCTGTTCTCTGAAATCTTTTGAACCTGGCTCCACGACAGCCCACAAGCTCTCATTTCCTGCTCGCACGACCTCCCCCATGCAACCCTCGCCTCGGACGCACAACTCGTTTTCCATCTGGGTTCCACTCGAGGGCCTGACACGTGATGTCCCCAGTCGGCCTTCTCAGTGTATGCTGACTCCAATCCATCTCCACTTCCTTCTGCATATTTGTTGGGTGATAGGTTCTTGATTCGTTGGTTCGTTGCCATATAGCCAGAGTTCCTTGTTGCTTATTATTTCTGGCAATCCATCTGATCTTCAGTAACGAGCCAGCGTAGGCAGTTGTTGATGAATGTCTGTAGTTTGTTGGAAATGGTTTTCGTGACGCGCCAAGTCTCTGAATTATATAGAAGCACTGACTTGACATTGGTGTTGAAAATCCGGATTTTGTTCACGCTTTATGCTGAGTGCAGTGCAGAAGATCTCCACACTGGTTTTAGGCTAATGAACACCTGTCTTGCTTTTCGGATGCTGACTGGCTTTGACATCCTCATCTGTGCCTCAGCCTGTAGTTGAAACAGTGCTGCCTAGATAGATGAAAGAGGCTACTTCCTTCAGGTTTCTCCTGTTGATGGTGATTGAAGTTTGTTGGAGTTGTTGGTGCGGTATCTTCATCACCTCTGTCTTCTCTTTATTCACTTGAAGTCCCATCTACGCTACCCCCATCTGCCAACTTGCTACTTTTCGTCTGTAGATCTTCAAGTTTGTGTGACATTAGACATAAGTCATCGGCGAAATCCAGATCTTCTCGGTTCATTTCCGCAGTCCAGCGTATCCCCCTCTTCTCGCTCTCCACTGTTTGCTGCATGATCCAGTCGACCACAATCAAGAATTTCATGGGACAGTGCCAGTGCCCTAGTCATCATTAAAGTTACGCAATTCCAATATGACGTCATTCATTTTGCTATGCTAAGACAGATGTTAAATTTAGTCGGTGTAATCGTTCTTCACAGGGCTGGTGGGAAAGACTAGCCACAAGTACCTATCTTTTGAACACTCCCCGGCCAATAGCTGCTACATTGGCTGGGTGGTTGGGCTTGCATAAATCAATGATCCAATGAGCTACACTGGCTGGGACGCTTGTTCTGTCGATGTTCTATGCCATTAGGTCTGTTGGGTAGTGATAAGACGAAAAGCTGTTACTGTTATACGGTAAATTGCGGAGGGGTTGAAAAAGTTCTCCAAAATTGACACACTCTTCCCTACCGCACGGTCTTCCGGTGCTGGCGGTGTGGGTTTTTCCTATCTGGCGTTACGACAACCTGCAGGAGGCTGTATGACAATCCTCAAGCAGATATCACATGATAACGAGACCCAATCAAACGTAACCTTTCCTCTTCAACTATATCTCCTTTGCCTTATACTAATATTAAACGTCTTACGCTTTCCTCAACCTCACTCTGCAACCGTTACTAACGATCAAAGCTATCGAAACCTCATTCCTAGTCTCCTAAGATCGTGCCACCGATTTCGTGTAGGTGTTTTCAACGTTCGAACTGTATGCCGATTCGGACAGCAACCATCGCTCGCCAAAACTTTAGTATCTCTATCCATAGATATATGCTGTGTCTGAGCCACTTATACAGGATCTGAATATAGTTAGTAGATTGACCTCACCTAGCCATGGTGATGAATCTTCAAAGTTTATCTTGATTATCCGGAGACTTGATGGCTAGCTGTCATGGACTCGCTGGTGTAGGCAAAGCATTGAGCTGTAGGGTAGAAAGTGCGCTCTTCCACTAGATAGCAGTCAACAGACGTCTATTTGCTGTTCTACTGAGTGAATCTGTAAGGACTATGAAGGATCTTGAGATTAGGCAATGCCTGTTCCTAACCTGCGCCTACGCACCCACTGACTGTAGTTTGGATGATGCAAAAGACGAATTCTATGAGTTGTCAGCTTTGCTGCAAAAAACAAAACGTTCAGATATAGTCATATTGGCAGGTGACTTAAACCCTCAAGTGGGAAAGTTTAGCCAATCGGAAAGGCATCATGGGAGTATTTTGGGAATCCCGTGCCAACAAACTGACAACAGTGATCGTCTGTTGCAATTTTGTTCCGAAAATCACGTGTTTCTGATGAGGTTATATACGTTCATTGACTGAGATGGATGTGTTGTGCACACCGAGTTACCGCCTACTTTGACGTCCCATGCTGAAAGTTGGATTAGGTTGGAAGAGGGTTCAGAATGGCGTGACCAAGACTCGGCACTAGTCCATGAAGTCCCTTACCGTTGGTCTGCCTCGCATGATGAGAGCACCTAGCTGAGGTCGCCGAGACGATAGAAATCAGTGGTTGAAGACTCTTGGTGAAGTGGCTGACAATCGGTCACAATGACAGATGAATACATTCTTTGTTATCCTTTTTATATCCACCTTTTCTGTGTTTACTACTGTGAAGTGCGGCAACTCAAGCGGATGCACTTGTATGTGTGGTTGCACGTTGATTTTATATGTCTGCCTTTAAACACGCTGAAGTAGGTTAGCATGTTTGACTGGCTACCTGCATGCAGCATTCCGACTGAATTCTAACGTATATGGAATGCTATCCTCAGCATATCTTACCAAAGAGTCGTAAAAGTAAGAAATTAAGCAGACATTGGGTAAAAACAAAGAAGTGTAGTATGAAAATGATCAGAATGAGTCTTTACCCACTGACTTCAGCTTTCACTCAAAATCCAACCTAAAAGTCCAAGTTACTGTACATCGCTCCAACAAATAGACTTCACAAAACAAGCCATATTTTCATTTGGCCGCCTTTAGACTCGATATTAACCTGTTCACTATAGAACCCTAAGGTTCGATCCATAAAGCGTTCGTGGATGCCCACTTCTGAGTCTCATACTAGAATGAATCAACTATCCACTGCTACCAAGTTTCTAAGGGTTCTCGAACTGATGTCACTTCATGATGAAAATCGAGAAAGTGGACATGGTTGGCAGACACTACCTGAAGTATACAACCCACTTCACTACATCCCACTGGAGGTTGGAATATTGAGACCTCAATAAGGTGATCTAATTAACCAGTCCTCCTGTTAGTGGCAATACAAAAACTTCCGATCGGTGGAGTCAAATGCCGCCATCGAATCGAGAAATGTGTTGATACTGTTTGGCCTACCTCGACGTTGAAAAGTACTGGAAGTTTGATTCGGTTGGAAGAGGGTTCAAGGTGGTCAGAATAAGACATGGCACTAGTACATAGAGTTCCTGACTGTTGATCTGAGTTGTGTAGAGAGTGTAGACTACCTTATCTGTCTGTGGTCCCGGAGATGATAGGATTCATTGTTTGAGGACTGTTGGTGAAACGCCTGAAAATCAGTCACAATGGCGCAGATGTATTCACTCCTTGATGTCTTCTACAACTTCAATGTTTTGACTAACCTTGATTTTTGAATTCCCTCTCCTCGCATACACTTGTACCTACTTCGATATCAGTCTCTTCTGGCCACTTGTTGTTTGTTTACTACTGTGGAGTGTGCCAACTTGGACCGATTAACTTGTGTACAGGGTTCTGCGTTGATTTTGTCGGTCTGACTGCTACTCTCTGGCGTCGACGAATGGGTCTGCAGGGTGTAGAAATCTGATGGATACACGTGTGGCCAAATCTGAAAAGTGTTTGTCGGGTTTCCTGTACCCGGGCTTCAATCAGGCACCTAACGATTATAGAACCTAGATTATTGAACACAGTGTTTGTCAGACTGATCCCCTTCTGCTGATTACAAAATGTGTCTCAATCTTTTTTTGAAAATTCGAGCAATCAGCAGTTGAAAGCATCCGGAAGAGGTAATATCTGATTTCCATATGCTAATTACCACTCCAATAACTCTAGCCAATAATCTCTCCTTTGATACCTCTCTCGTACTAGTACTAGCTAATTAAGGTCTGCTATTCCTCCTTCTTTATTCTCCCTCATGACCTTCCTTGCTTATCCTTGAGTTGCTGGTCTTGTCTCAATGGTCCATTCAGAATGTGACTGCATATCTGGCAACTGAATAGTAGATGGAGGTTAGTTGAACTGTTCCTCAAAATGTCCATGCTATCATTACGGATGTCTCTCATATGGGTGAATTGCAACCCATCCGTCTCTGCTGTCGTCCCACTAACTGCTGACATTTCCACACACACATCCTTGAAAAGTTTAAACAACTATCTACTGTTACTTATTGTTGCTGCCTCTTCTCTCTCTTGAGCTTCTATTGATCACGGTCATTGCATCGACTACTTGTCAGTTTTACTCGAGTTGCTTTCATTTCTCATTGTGCTCCGAGCCTGCAGAAATGCTTTCACATGCATTCAGTAAGACTGCTGAGATCTATTGATCTTTTTTAAACTTTTTTTCTGAAGATCAGTTAGTCTTCACCGTTGCTTCTAGACCAGACTGGATGTGGCGCCAGGAATCTCCAGGACGAGTGACGTCAACCCGTTTCGATAACTGTAGCTAGTCCCTTTTTGAAAGAAAGAAGCCTTAGCATCTTGATGATAGACCTGAGTTAACGATGGATTTCTGGTAGTACTTCTCAGATGTTTATTTGAGAACAGACATAGGCGTGTTCTAACCAACACTGGTCAACCGAATGCACCAAAAGGAATAAGAACCTACCACTGAATCTCTTCAGAGTTTGTTTACTGCTCTACAGTCTGTGTCCACCGTTTACTTGTGCTCAGTGGTCGCCCCGTCAGGCAATATCTCTTTACATCTTCGAAACTCGTCCTGGACAGGATTAGATGTGTTTAATATAAGACCAAAACTCAGGCACTGTTGTATCGTATACTTTCATGTCAGGTTGTTTATTTGTAGTAAGTAGTTGTCTGAACACTGTTGTAACAGACAACCGCCACAGTGTGTTCGGACAGCCGGGATTCCGGAAGTGACAACTAACTCCCTTCTGCCTTAGTCTTCCCACCTATGACGACCACATCTTATTGTTTGGCTTCTAGGTGGAGGACAGACAGTTTTCTGTGGTCGATGCGTGCAGAAAGAAAGATAACGAGGAGGGAACGGTGCACTTCACTACTATTCTTAGTCATTACTGCGCCACTGACTCGAACAGCGCACGGACGACTGTCATCTGATATCCGGCTGAGCAGCGCACTATCTACATCTACCCGATAACTTAGTGCTATGCCTACACCTGCAAGACTGTAAGAACTACTTGAAAAATCTTCAGAAACTCAAGGGGTGAAGATTACAGAGTTCTCACACTGACCAGGAGAGGTTAAGTGAACTGAATAACCACACTTGACTTTGGTATCCACGTCTCACAAACACAACATACATCCATAGCTGGAGACGCCGGAGTTTAGGTTAACGATAAACAGACAAAATCAACATGGAACCTCGCACACAAGTGCATTGGTAGCGAAGCTTGGTCGATTTTATGAAGAGTGTAGATAGTGAGAGCTCCGATATGTAGTTTGGAGTTCAGTTTCAGCAGACCAGAGATACTGTTATGTGAACGCAAATCGTCATTAGGTGTTACGAAGCTTGGAGCAATCAGACTAGAGGGGGAGTTATTAAACAGAGAAGCAGATTAGTTGGTTTTCGGAAGGGACAGAGATGTGAGTGGTTGACATTTTCTGGCTGCACACACCATAGAGGGTAAGTTCTTCTTGAGATAACTGATGAAGAAAGTGGATAAACGGGGTTGGTGTTGCAAAATAAGAGCATGGTGGCATATGCCAGGTTGTATTATGATGCCGTTTGTACACGAATTGTAACAGTAGACAGGAACAGTCATTAATCGATTAGCTACTGAACAATTGTTGGTTTGCACGTTGTTGGATTCTTTTATGGAATGTTTCGTTTTTTAGACCTTATTGTTCTTTCTGTTGTTGACTTACGTTTCATTGTACTCTAAATTCTAATTCCTGGTTTTCAGATCATGGGCACTCAGAATCGCAGATCTATTGCAGAAACATCGAGCTGGCCTCCACATTTGGTGGTGCTTTTGCACTCTTTTCCTCTGGTTATGTGGCTTTGTTAATGTTGTCCAGTTGCCTTGCGGACCAATCGGTTTGTGTTTTTACTTTTGTCGCTTACTTTTAGTATGAAATGTTTTTTACTGTTGCAAAATTAAATATTGGAGTAAAACTAGTTTTTGTAGTACTATTCTGAAGCATCGTTTTATGATTTATATCTTTCTGTATGTACTGATTTCAAAATTTTATCTACTGATATTCAGTACTTATTTTGCTTCGTCGTCGACTGTTGATGACATTTGATATGCATGGGATGAATATTACGATGAAATAGATAATTGTAGCGTTCATGCTTTCAATACCACTTCGTTGAAATTACCTCACTGGTACGCTCAACATTTGCACTTTTTAAAGGCTTGAATTCATTAAAATAGTCAGTTAGATACAGAAGGAATCTTGTTTGCTGCTCAAATGTTGGATCGAGTACTTTTTTAATTTTTGGTAATGGTGTCATTTGTATGAGAAAAATAACAGAGTATGGTGTTTGTATGTGTCACCTTAACTTCATGTAAGATTTTAAAGGTAGATAATGACACTATTTCCAATGTTGTGTTCTCTATCAACCTCAACGATATTCGCCGTGAACTACTACTTTTCGTCGTCTTCTGTGTGACATTCTTTCAACTTCAATAAACTTCAGTTAGGTTTGTGGAGATTTATTGATTTCTAGTGTGTAGTCATTACGGATTGACCATAAGTTGGTAATTAAAAGAAAAAACCGCGTTTTGCATGGGATCCTAGTTTTGTGGTCACAGGTATTAAAGAAAGGACATTTAACTAATTGGCGAAAGATAGGGTCTTTCCACCTTATTATTTTATTGGCTTGTCATCATCTTACAATTTATATATATCATATGCAGAAGAATTTGATAACACTTTTGTGCAGTGAGATAAAATTAGCCGACGCTGAGTGGTATGATGTATTAGGTTCAACTTAAACATTAGTTTAACATATGTTGTTCAACGAAAAGTTCGAGGCAACCTAGATGGATAATTACGGTATTCTAGTATCTGGAATAAAGGATTGTATAAGAAGATCAATAGGACAGTAGTTGATGATCGATAATAGATAAACCAAGTGACAATGTAATGAGTCAAAATCTATTAGCAAGAAATCAGCAGCACTGTGAGCGAATGAGAAGGTTCAGTTGATAATTTGTAGTTGATGAAAAGGAAAAATCGAGAACTAGATTACCAAGACGTATTTTAACTGCTTCTGTAGATACAGGGGAATTCGTCCATACCGTTCGAGGTACCGTGTTACAGATATAATTCTGCTTCTTGTTTTTTTTATGTAGTCTTGTAATTGAACTTGTTTCTGTGTACGAAATATTCATGGTTTTTTTACCAAATAACTTTCACCTGCTATGTCACTTAGTTTATCTATTAATTATTACCAACTAATCTATTTGTTAACCTTCTTACATAATCCTTTATTGTTGGTCCAGTACACTTACTGTCCACCTCCTGTTGAACAATATAACTAAAATTTCTTAGTATGGCTTAAGTGCAATGTATCCTTATAGTTCTGATTATACCATGCCACTCTACGTTAACTAATTCCATCTCACTGCAAAGTGTTACTGATTTCTTCTGCATTATGTTTGTTTTAAATTCAAGGAAATTGTGCTTATGCAACACATGGGAAGCTTGACACACGAAGCATGTCAACTAGATGAAAGAATTTTGGGTGTAAACATGGTTGCAGGACCAGACTGATTAGGACCTTGTAATACCAGTAAACCTCACATCTGCCATTCTGTAAAACAGAACAAGCTTGCTGTTTTCATCTATGTAAAATCCATTCTCTAAGCAAATATGACAGCATTTTTCGGTGAAACTTATTTTTTACTACAACCCTTTCATCAGTAGTAGTTTGTGAAGCTTTTCGGAAATTGGGATGGTGGAGAATAATTGTAGCTCAGGTGAATTATCTTGTTTGTGTTATATTCTCTTCGCTGGGTGGTTCAATCGTAAAGCTTTCATTGTCTTTGTAGACACAACATCATCAGCATTTCACATTGAAGTTAGTGCTGATGATGTTATCTTGAAGGATAGTGAAAGCTTCACGTTTAAACCATCCAGCTCAGAGAATACAATACAACTAACAATTTCGGAATTTTTTGTAAGGATACTGAATTAGTTACCCAGGAATTAAACTCAGTTCAAACAAAGTGTTCTCCAGCATTCTCTGGCTTCCGTTATAAGTTTTATAGTAAGAGATTCTTAAAATTGTTCATACACGATGTATATAACTGTGAAACAGCTAAATTATATGATTACATCTGAAATATCACTGGGACGGAACCGAGTAAAATAACATTTTTTTTCGACAACAGGAATTCCAGTAAACAACTCTGAGAGCGATTAGCGTAGGATTCAGACGCATAGTCGTCCTTTTAATTCATATCAGCTAATGTTTCTGTAATCCTTATATATTCGAGAGAAATGATAAAGGATAGAAAATTTGTGAGGTACAATAAATCTGGATCTAGACACTCAACTTCTAACTATTCTGTTATGAGTCTGAACACTACTTCACATGGAATGCTCTGAGAAGCTAGGTAGTTTTTCACCCCTTGCACATCTTACGGTACTTACTGCAGGGACGTGCATGTTTGCATAGTTGCATTTTATTTTTGTTCATGTTGTCGAAGATCATTCTTAAATAATTATCGTTAAGTTACCTGGCGGTGTCATTCGTGCAGTCTTTCTTCTTTTCGATTCCACTTAATATAAATGGATAAGAAATGGTTTGATATCAGAAAGTCCCTCAAAAAGAATAAATGTTCGAGAAATGCCTAGTATGGCGTCCAATCATCCAGAGAACAGTTTCTGCAACATATTCGGTGATTGGTAACAATGAGTGGAAAATTTTTATATATCATCCTGGACTGGTAAATAAATGTCCTTCTGTCTATTTTCATTATCTTTGCCCTATCCAAAATCCATAAATATAATGTAAGTACTCGTTCAGAAGTGTAACCTAATACTTGGCAATCCTGCATAAATTCTTCATATAGGCAGAGTGTCTTTTTGAAGTGTGAGCTACATTTTTGAATCATAAATATCTTTTCTAGAGTAAATTTAAAGACCACTTTAGCAACTTCTGAGATAACCAATTACTTCTCTCTGTTTTATGAAAAACTTTCTTGCTAGCCGGAATACTGAAACTTGGTTGGTTTTTTTCAGAAGTTGCTAGAATGACTTCTAAAGTCATTTCTTTGCTAAGTCTTTCCTTCTTCTTTCTCATCAGTCACTTTTTTCTTAAATTTCAAGGTAATTGAAGGGATTTTGCTCGAAAATGCTACTCATTCAACATGTATAGCGGTTAATAATCGCTTTCGATCACTGGCAGTCGGAACAAAGAGGTAAAGTGTTTTCTTCTAATATGTGTTGTTCCTTAAAAGTGTCCTTCATTAGTGCACCATTTTTTGTGGATTATATATTGAGTAAACATGTTACTTTAATTTGGTTAACAACCAAATTTATAATTTGAGTTAGCTTGCCGACTAATCAGATGTTGTCTAAGTTATGTGATCAAAAAGTCAGCACTCCTGTAGGTTCGATGGTAATCATTTTACGTTAACCTAGAAGGCAGTGATATATAAATACAAAGTATAAAAGTTCTTCCACTTATTTCCGTAGTAAATTGTCATGAAAATTTCGGCAATCGCTCACCGAGAGTCTACTCTATTTCTGTGATGATCTAGATAATCAGACATTGAAGTCTTTAGATTTTATTTGCACGATAAATCAATTGTTTCAATTAGTAGACTACAACTATTTCATATCGCATTCTTTTTTTTTTTACTAACGTTCACAAAGCTACTTAATCAAAAAACGTATTAGCGATCCACCATTAGAAACATGAGTTATTTGACAAATCTTAGTATAATTCGTATTATGTCAAAGTTACGTACAGTGCTATTTTGTGCTGAATCAAACAACGGATTATGAAGTTATATGTAGTATGCAGCAGATGTAAGTAGCGTAAACGTGAATGAAAACGAAACATGTTCAGAATTCATCACCTGAGACCCGGAATTCTGAACTATCAGCTTTTTCTATGCACACATATGAGGCAAGCATTCAGGGCCGACAGAAACTGATGATTGAGTAATCTAGATGTCGTCTAACAGCCTGAACTCTCTGAACTATAACAATGATCAGCATTCAAGCTCTAGCGGCAGCATATTTATGTCACAGCACTTTTCATAAACAAGAAGTAAGCACTTTCTGATGATGGGTTCGATAACTACTACTTCACTTAACTCACTAATCGAATCAAGTATTTATTTTAGGTAGTTTTTGTGCAGCTTATCCAGAAAATACTGTACGAGTGTTATTAAGATATGAAGGAACACAAGGAAACAGAGGCATGATCAAATAAGTAAACGGATCGAAAAAGTAGTTTCAGAGAAGCATTCATCACTTTCGCCTTACTTCGTGGTAACGAACAGCATCACCACCACTGATTTCGATTTTAAGCCATATGTGGCAGCTTTGCCATGATCATGACCTGTTGGACTTCAGACAGAGTCGTGAAACAACAACAAGTGTTTGTCAAACACAAATATCCTTCATCCCGTAGCGACACGTCATACACTCACCACTTTCCTCACTTCTAACTGCTTCACAGCCGGGTAAAGAACATATTTGTCCTGGCTTACAACTGCTGCCTTGACACGTGGTAGTCAGGCTTGGATATCAAAGTGACCCAGCGAGCTGTTCTGGTGGACACCTGTTCTCTAAGGTCCCATCATATCAGAAAGATCTTTTAATAGTGGTTCGACAAAAAGAAGCTACCATCATAGTTGAGGTATCTACACTACGAAGTGCAGTCACACTACTAGCTGTATGGGTGTGTGACGCCAGTGAGATGTTTCCCGTGGATGACTAACAGTACTATGCTGGTATTGGTTTACCTCTGGTAAGGGTGACGGTTTGAAAACCTCGACCCCTAAAATAACACTCTTTTGTCCTGTGTTCTTCCGATGGCAACAGTGCAGGTTTTCTTTCGGGATCTAATTAGACCACAGCTAAACCTCTTGCTCACGAAAAGCCTGAAGCAGATGTCCACTGAGTTCTGCGATCTTGCAAAGCTTACTCATTTCCTATTTAAAGTGCGTTTCGAAAACAGCTTCCATTATTTAGACACCCAGAAATTACCGATCGCCAACATGCTTTCAGCAACATTAAAGTACAACTAACCCTAACCTACCTGCCTCACCATTATATCTACTCTTGCCTTTACTTCATCATAACAACATTCAGCACTTAACACCTCACTCTACTACCGATGTTACTAATTGCAGTATGCGAAACACAATTCTCAGTCTTTCAAATTCATGCTACCGATTTCGCCCTGCAGCTTCCAAAGTCGGAACGCTATGCAAAATTGAATAACAGGTCTTACTTACAAGAACTACGGAGTTGCGAGTTACAAATGTATATTGTGTTTCTAAAACGCACATGCATGATTTAAGTGTGATGATCTCTTGTGACATATGTGGAGGATATGTATAATTCATTTTACGATTGTTTGGAAATTTTCTGTAGTCCCGCTGATATTAGTAAAACATGATGTAGAGCAGGAAACGCACCTTCTTAGTGGACACTAGATGACAGTTGTCTATGCACTATTTAACTAAATGGGTCTGTAAGAACTAGAAAAGACTGAAACAGTCTTCTTTGTCTGTTCTTAATCTCCGCTTTGGTAAAAATAGACAATGTCGTTGTTTCAAGGGATGAATTCTACCAGGGCTATTGAATCCGCCATATATAGCAAAAAGTCCCGATATAGTCATACTAGCGAGCAATCTTCACGTTCAAGTAGGAAAATTAAGCCATTTGGAAATATCTTTGGAGTATCAAGGATATTGTGTACCTACGAACCGACAACGACGATCATCTGCTGCAATTTCGTTCTCACAGTCACCTGTTTCTGATCAGCATTAAAATCGGGCATAAGCAAATACGATTTTTCTGGGTTTCCATCGCAGCCAAACTGAAAATAGACAAAAACAAATATCACTAAAAGCCATCATTGGAAGCTTACCGCTTTTTATAAAGTATATGGTTGGACACGAATCGTATGTTGGTATGGATACATGTATGTTTGCACCTGACAGACAGTAGCAGAACATCTGTCTGATGAACAAAAAAATAAGAACGTTAGTTGTGTATCCACAGAAGAGCTCAACAGATACCTTCTATCTTAACATGGTGATTGGGCCTGTGTATAACAATAGCCCAATAAGCTATGCTGGTAGAACCTTTCTTCCCTTGACGTCCTGCTTGACCAGAAAAGGTAAGTATAACATTGTTCCAAGGTAGAAGATACACTACTTGTCTGGATTCCGGTTGACAGTTGCCTATGCTCTATTCGACTAAGTGGTGCGGTGAGGACTAAGATGAATAGTGAAAATCGCCTTTATCTCTTTGTAACCGCTGCTTATGTATTCACTGGCTGCAGTTTAGATGAAGGGAAGAATGAGTTCTACTGAAAACTGTCTGACCATCTACTAAAAACCATGCGTTTAGATGTGGTTGTCACAGCAGGTGATTTCAATGTTCAGGTGGGCAGGCTAATCATGCAAAAAGGCACTTAAGTTGCACTTTCGGATCCCAGTCGAACGGACAGATAGCAGTTATCGTCTGCTGCAACTGTGCTTGGATAACCTTTTTATTTTACAAAACACAAACTTCAGACATGAAGACAAACATTGTCTGATGTGATACCCCATGACTTCAGTTCAGCGGTGAATGCGGACAGACCATACTGATATCAGTTGTCTATGGAGAGAGGAAATGAAAGATTTCCACTCCTTCTGGAGCACGAGGTTGTAGAGCGATCACGCTTTATTTCGAGCGCATGTTTGTCCATGTCTTAATAGACAAAGAGAACTCTAGCAACAAGACCATTGCGAGCGCAGCTTATCAATGAGAGCACTAAGGCTGCTTTCGGCGATGAACTGGATAGATAGTTATCGGAACGGAACAATATCACTTATTCTGAAGAAGCTTGGCGTCATCTCCAGTTGGGCTTAAAATTAGCGTTGTCGACGTGACCGACTATCAGATAGTGGTTGGAAACAGCCAGTGGATCTCAACCGTTTCTTCTGACTGAATAGATGCACACCAACACATGGCTGCATGCTCCGAGTACACTGAGGAGTGAATGTGACTCAAACATAGACTGACAGGAAGCCTACATAATGACTGCGGACAGTACTGAGTACCTGAGGCTGAGGAGATGAAAATGATGGTGGCGATAGGTTACAGTAGACAATTATTAAGACTTATCAGAAAATATGAGCGGAAATGTCAATGGTTTTTGAGACAATCGATGAGAAGTAAGGGTCTGTGTTTCACTCACAGGGGGAGATGACTCTAACGAACAGCAGAACACTTCTAGGAACAGTTCATTTGGCCTCCAGCTTCTATATCGTTGCCGCTATCCAGTCAAAATCTGAATAGAACTTCGAGGTAAGACCCTCAACACTTTCTGAAGTCGAGAAATCTGTAGATAACCTGAAGCAGGGAAGAGCAGCAGGGCCAGACGAACTGGTCGCAGGGGTATTTAAGGACGGTGGTCAAGGCTTTCTAGTCTAACTGACTGGATTAGCATACACTAAATCAATCTAGGTCTTTTTTAATTGGTAAACTTTTAAATTTAAGCAGTACTACTATTGTGAAACAAAAATATTTTTCTCTGATAGTTTAATTTGACAGTTTCACTAATTTCTGCCTTAATTTGGTCATAAGCTGATCTTCAGCAGTACCCTATCTAACATTAGGTAGTGAAGTGGTTGAGTGTGTAGATTATTCCACATTCTTGGAAGATGAACCAGTCCTAGTGGGTCGATGGTCATCGATATCTCTGCACGGACACAAAAGGCTCGACTGATTTTCGCCAACTAACGCCCTCTGTGGTGCCGCCGCGATATCTGACTGTTTATTAAGGGTCAAGTTTACTTGGCTGCAGTTCGCTCTGTTCTATTACGTGGCTGTAAACATGAGCATTAAAAACAGAGGACACGAGAAGGTCCCAGGTGTTCAACCACCGTCACCTACGTAGCACAGACCGTATGTCACAGTCTCACTAAGTCAGTAATGCAGAATTCAGATGTAGAGTTTTAGGGTGGAGAGGAAAGTCAGTTTTATGCGGTTGTGAATCTTTATCGACTGAGATGGCTGAGACATGCGTTACGCATGCTTAGTCACTGTCTGCCTCGCCGTTAGCTGAAGTGAGTTCATTATGGAGAAAGGTTCGGGGTGACCAGAATATAACATGGCGTCACTGTATGAATTAGTTGACTGTTGTCTGAGCCATGTAGTGGAATTCAACTTCTCTGTTAGAGTCCGTTACAAGAGAAACCAATGGTTGGAGACTCTACGTGATATGGCTTAGAATCGATGTCAGTTGTGCAGACGTATACACAATACTATCTTAATATTAATCCTATACTGAATCCAGCATTTTCTCAACTCTGCTTCTCTCTTTGATTACTTCCTACTGTTTTTGATCGGTTTTTCTTTCTTTTTTTCTTTCATCTTACTGCTTTTTTGGTTGATGTGGTGATGTAATGGGTGGCAACTTGTACATTGGTTCTAAAAATTAACGTAG